TGTGTTGGAGGCTTGCTCCCCATGAAGCGGGTATGAAATGAAACCCAAATTTTGTTATTCCTGTGTTTACCTGAATGAGGCATGTGGATGCAAGGATGGAGGCACTCAGTAAGGAAGAACCAGGCAGGAACAGGAGCAGAAACATCAGACTTGGCTGATACTCACAATCTCTTGTCCTTCTTCAAGGAGCTCTCCCTGGAAAAACAACAAATGCTGGAGATGCTGGAAGAAAATGAGAGCCAGGTCCTACCTCCAACCAGCCCCAGCAAGGAGCAAAGCCCCATCTGGGGACTGCACTGCAGCCTGCGACAGATTGAAGAGAAGATGCAGCAACTTCTGCAGGAGAAACTCCTGGCAGAGAAAAGGTGAAGTGGGGAAAGAGGACACTTCTGCTCAGGCTTAGTGGTGCTGAAGGATGTCACTGTCTGCTGACTTGCTTTTTGGTTGCCAACACCAGACAAGTCTAGAAGCTTGTCTGGTTCCAGTGGCAGGAGTCCAGGTTACAAATCCTTCAAAGGAGACAGAGTGAGGCAGGGCAGCTGAACTTGCACCCAGTTGGGCCTGCTCCTTTCAAACCAGGACTTGTGCAGGTAAAGGTGTTCATGGCCTGTCCATAAGGAGTGTTTGGTAGTCCTGGGCCTCATCTGGGAGTTGAGAATGTTCCATTCAAGAACTATCCAGCTGGCTTTCTCCAGCAATGCCTGTGCTATTGGAATGGAGCACACAGTGCTCCTGTTAGCATCTCTTTGCTCTGGGCAGTCAGGTAGTTGAGCATGCCCCATCATGACACTGAGCTCCTTTCCTTCCTGTGAATTGTGTTGGGGTGGGAATGGTCATCTTTGTTTGCTGTGCCATGCACCAGGATGAAGGAGAATGAGGAGCGGTCTCGAGCACTGGAGGAGGAGCGCGAGTTTTACTCTTCCCAGTCGCAAGCGCTGCAGAACTCGCTCTTGGAGCTGACTGCAGAGAAACAGCAGGCAGAGAGAGACCTCAAGGTATCCCCTGCATACGTCACATATTGCTGTCCCTGGGCTCAGAGTGCTTCCATTTCCTCTTTCAACTCATTCTCTATCAAGCCAAACACTTGGTTTTATTTAGTTTTCACATTTTGGTCATAAATCTTCATTACTGTGCTTCATATTGCCAGCTGTATCCTGGCCTGCATCCAAAGCAGAGTAGCAGGCAGGGCGAGGGAGATGATTCTGTCCCTCTGCTCCACTCTGCTGAGACCCCACCTGCAGTGCTGCATGCAGCTCTGGAAGGACATTGACCTGTTGGAGTGAGCCCAGAGGAGCACCACCAAGGTGCTTGGAGGGCTGGAGCACCTCTCCTGTGAAGACAGGCTGAGAGAGCTGGGGCTGTTTGGCCTAGGGAAGAGAAGGCTCTGAGACAGAAACCTTATAGGAATTTTTACGATGTAGTGATAGGACAGGTGAGATTGGCTTCAAACTGAAAGAGGAGAGGTTTGGATTAGGTATTAGAAAGAAATTCTTTACTGTGAGGGTGGTGAGGAATTGAAACAAGTTGCTCAGAGAAGTTGTGGATATTCCATCCTGGAAGTGTTCAGGACTGGGTTGGTTGGAGCTCTGAGAAACCTGGTCTAGTGAAAATTATCCCTCCCCATGGCCAAGGGGAATGAGATGATCTTTAAGGTCTCTTCCTACCCAAAGCACTATGATATCATGGTAACACGTGAAATTGTCTTATATCTATGTAGTACTACTGTTTATTTTTGTATCCTGAAGCCTGATTAATCCATTCAGTACAAGTCTTTCAATCTGTTACTGTGAAAACATAACCTATAGATGGAGGGAAGGAAAAAAAGTAAAAGAGGAAAGTAGACACAATCAAGAATAAAGATGATTTCAAATAAATGCTAATATGGTTGTTGCAGAACTGAGCAGACATTTTGTCTCCTCACCTGTGCTCAGAAAAACAAACCTTAAGACTTTTAAATCTTCAGTAACCTCTGCAAGAACTTGGATTCAAAAGCAGAGGAATTCAGATGAGGGACCAGCCCTACTTGGTAACTGACAGTACATTAATCTATGCAAAGGTAACTGGACAAATATGGTATTTTATTTAAATCTAAATAATGTAAAGGTTATGTTAATAATTGGCTGTTTGACACTCAAACTCCTTATACAATATTTTGTCCACCCTCTGAATTATTTTTTCCTGAACCTCCAATATTTTCTTATCCTGTCATCTTCTATCTACTTGGCCAGACTAAAGCTAAGTTGACCTAAGCTGTGTAGTCTCTCATTTGCTAAACTAGTACAGTATTTCTAACTCCTCTTGTGTTTTGTTTCTGAAACTAAGCACTGTACATCCCTTTGTGGGAATTGGCTGCCTTTATCTCAAGTCTGTCTCAGCTGGATTGATGTCCTTCTGTTCCTGCTAAGCTGCAAGTACTTGCATTAGCACAAATTCATGTGTTGAAATACCATCTCTGGTTCCATATGGTTTATGCAAGGGGAGGAAAACTGTGAAAAATGAAGTCAGAGTAAAGTAATATTACTGTAATAATCTGGACTTCAGATTCTGTCTGAAAACATGAGAAATGCCTTTATATTGCCTTGCAATACTTCTAAGGATTTCCATCACTGTTGTCTTTTCATTTTTATCCATGGCAAGTTCCTCACAGACCTTGTGAGTTACCCAGATGTTTACTGAGAAACAAGCTGTTTTCCAGCAATTCTTATTTTCTTCCTCAGGCTGAAGTGAAGGTACGCATGGATCTGGAGAAGAGACTGAGAGAGGCTGAGGAAGCCTTGCAGAGCTTGGAGCAAGGCTTAAATTCCCTGAATTGCAACAAGGAGAAAGAGAAGAAGATGAAAGCAGATGTCAGTAACTTGAGAAGTAAGTTAGTCATCCATGTTCTCTACTGATGAGCAAACTCACTAGAGGAAATATTTCTACCTTCCCAGGCACACAAAGATTACAAATTAGCAAAGCTGCAGATAAATGTGGTCTCCCAACTTCTTGTACCTCCACCACATCTCCCTTTTGAGGAGCCATAATGTGCTATGCAGGTAGTTGATGTTTTGCCCTCAGAGAAGGTTGGAAATTATTCCAGCCTCTCAAAGGAGCATTAAATTATTCCAGCCATCTCTGCTGGGTGGAAGACAAACCTAGAGATGAGCAAACCATCTTGACTTTCCAAAATGTCAAACAGGGAAGCTGTGGCAGAGCTATAAAAACTGACTACTGACTAGGTCTGAGTTACAAGGAGTCCTCTGATTCCCCTCAAGGCTTTATTTCTCAGCCTTGGCTAAAAGAATAGCACCAGTTTAAGGAGGCCTGTGGTTGCTGTAGCAACGTGCTGGTGGGTGACCCAGCAGGTGAAGTTTGGATCTTTACTCAGAGCTGAATCGCAGCATCAGCTCAGCACTACAGAGCATGGGTCAGGTGCAGACTGATGCTTCTCACAAGTTATCCCTGTTTCTTTGCCTTTTTCTGATTTGTTTGGGCTGGGTCTTTTTGGGTTCTCTTGGGGGGCATTATCCTGGCATTTGGCTTGAGTCAGGCTTGGGAACTGACATAAGCAGCTTCAATTGAGTCAAATCTTGCTTGTTTTGCATGCCCTGCAAGTTATAGTGCAGGGAGAAGGGTTTATTAAGGTGCTAGGTCTGTACAGTTAAGGCTTCATTTCAGTGAAGGGTGGATGTACTGGACTAATATAGAAAAGTCAAAAAGTCCTGTGGTATTCTGAGCACTGTTAGGTAAATAGGGAAAAATAAATGTATAAATAGTTTTATATCTATCCGCATACTTATAATTTATTTATATTTAAATTTTAAAAGTATTATTCAGTAGTTTCTACATAAGATTTCTAAATGGATAAAAACAGTCATGATTCTGAACTTCATGCCACTGGTTCAGGGCTATGGTAAGAAAACAGAGTGAAAGTGGATATGTTGAGCTCAGCATTCAAGTGGAGCTTCACAAGGCATACATGAGTAACTGGTACTGAATGTCTCCTGATATTTCCAACCTTAGATTTTGGGAGATGTTTTTTTCAAAAGAGTAAAAATGTACTGATGAGCAGAGCACTAGAGAAAATAAGGGACCAGCAATATTTCCCATAATGTTAGTCCCAGCACACATTGCCTCAGTCCTTCCAAGTGGTTCCTGCAGCTCTGCATGCCCTTTATAGAAGAGTTGGGGCACATTAGCACATGATGCTTTTGAACAGCAATGGACCAGCAACAGGCAGGAGGTCAGCAAGACTGGAATTGCAGAATAGACACTGGTCAGACCATAAGAGGGGAAATGGGGCAGGAAAAGCAGTTTGTGTGGCAGATCAGGGCAGAATAACGTCAGAGTTTGGGCATAGGGCTTCCCTTGGAGCCCATAATATATGTAACTATGTGCTAGTATTTGCTATGCTGCTAAGAAATCCCTTACCATGTGTGCCCATGATGGTGTTGCCAACACTTGCCAACACCTTCCTTTTCCAGTTAGTCCTGACTGGTTTTAGAAGTCCTTCAAAGAAAGTATAAAGAGCAAGGCTTCAGAGTTGAGAACTTCTATAAAAGTATAAAAGGCTTTTGGCAGTTGAGTCATGAGCAGTTGTGAGAATTACTGATGTGGAATGGATGACTGTAGTTCTTTCTAAATTTGAGTATGCATTTGTTAGGAACTGGAGGGTTTTGTCACTTTGAAAATGAACATTTGCAAATGTTCTTCCTGATGATATTCTAGAGCTCTATGGATTGTTGTTCATGAAGGTCATCATTACCTGGTTCAGCCCATCAATGAGCGCAGTCCCTTGTGGCTGGTTCATTGCTAGGGGTGTCTGCCCCATCACTGTAACAGTGGTGTTCTCTTCCCAGAGTTCTTTGAAGAGTGCATCCGCAATGCTGAGCTGGAGGCCAAGATGCCCGTGATCATGAAGAACTCCGTGTACATCCACAAGGCTGCCACTCGCCGCATAAAGAGCTGCCGCTTCCGCTGCCGGAGAACCAGCGCCTCCTGGAATGACAGTGGGTGTCACGCAGCCTTCTTCTTCATCTCCTGCAGGAGCAGATATGTGCCCAGGGGGCTGGCAGAGCAGTAAAGTTTGCAAATGTTGTTTCTATTCCATGTTCCTTAGCAGCAGAATGGAGCCATGGTGCTACTTGGAGCTTCCTTTCCCAGAGAGCAGGCACTGAGCCTGTGTACTTGTTGCCCCTTTCTTTATATATGTTGAAAGCTAAACTTCTGTGATGGTCTTGGGCCCCTAAAAAAACATACTTAAATATGACTTCATCAGAATGCCTAATCACAGACTGAGTTAGGCTCAGTCATGCTGGTCACATGGCTCGTGAACTCTAGTGAAGCTTTATCTTCAGTTTGTGTCACTAGTGGAGAGTGCTTACCTTTCTGTCTTGTTCTTGTTTCAGTGAAACAGTCACAGTCCTTCATCTTCTCACCTGCAGAAGCTGAAAATATTGAAGAGCTGAAAGAAGCAGCCAAAAGACTGAGCCGGGACCAGCGCTTTAGGAAAACTATCTATCAAATCATGAGGTCACAAAAGGATTCTGCTTCAGGGGACAAAAAGTGACTCTTCCTGGGAGGGGGCTTCTGAGATCAACCTGCCATTCAGCTCTGCAAAAGTTACAGCCTTGGGCACTAGGCTCAGAAGGGAGATCTGGCATTTGGCGGGCAAGGTGGGGGAGAGTTGTGTGTAGGAAATCCCTTGAGTTACTGGCTTTGCTTTAGTTTGAGTGCTCCCTGCAGCCTGGCAGACCTTCTCTGCTGATCTCTCCAAACCTGTTTGCTTCAGCTGCTTACACTAAGCCATGTTTGGCCAAGATGCCACAGTCGGTGTTCAAGTGAACCAGAGACCGTAGCTTAGGAAGTGCCTCTCCTTTCCTTTCCTTCCCTGTCTAGTCTGTCTGCCAAACACAAGTGCTTCTGAGGAAACCTTTAGCAGCCTATGTTCCAGCTGTATAATCTCCTCAGCTGAACACAGCTCACCCTGTTCTGCCTGATCCCCTCTAGGAGCTGCACACCCTCAGTAAATCAGCACTTCGGTGGGGCACATGTCCTGAAGACTGCAACAGTCCCAGCCTCCCAAGCACAGGCAAAAGTATCAAACACAGGGCCAAACTTTTTGTCTTGATGCTACATAATTTCAAGCAAACAGCAACAACACAAGGTGAAGACAACAGGAGGATGCTGTGGATTTGGGTCCAAGGAGGATCATGTACAGAGAAGAGCTTATAGGTAACTCAATGGCATCCATGCAAGCTGGAGGGAGGGTTCTGTTGTGTTGATGGTGGGCAGAACATTCCAGGGCCACCTTTGCGCATTTTTTTGCACTGGGACATCTAGCTGTGTCAGAACTAGGGAATGCATTAGCTCTTGGCTATCTATTCCTCAGTGTGAAGAAGCCTTTGACTCAGTTTTGACGGCTTCCTCAACACCTCACCTGTGAGGTGAGTTGGGGGGCAGGAGGGTGAAGACTGTCTAGCAACAAAACCCACTGCCACTTCAGGCAAGCTGCAAGGGCTGTGGAAGAGGAGTCCAGGAGAGGAGTCACTTTGTTGTGGAACCCCTTGCAGCTTCCCCCACCTATTTTAAGTAAGCAGTTGGCTAATAATTACCCATGCTGTAGAAGCAGCACTGCCTGGTGCTTACAGACCACAGGATAAGCATGCTCAGAGTGACACCCTGTTTTCTCCTGCGTATTAATTGGGAAACTAAGAAATAGACAATACAAAGGTGAATAAAGTAAGCAGCAGAAGTACAGTTAGGGGTTAGGGGGTGATAAAGTACAGATTTACTGTACCTTTCATGGCATCAGGACCCCTGGGTATTATGTATGTCCAGTGACACACAGGTGGTTGCTTGCTACTGTCCCATTCAGACTAACTAACAGCCTTTGGCTTCTGGCCACCTACATAATTCCCTACCAATTTAGTGTTGTTCTTAGGGAGAAGTCAAGGATGAGGCTGGGTAGCAAGCCTTGGCTTACCAGCCAGAGGAGAGTGGTTAAAGCTGGGTGGAGGAACATCCTGTGACAGTGTGATGCTCCTGGATGGAATCACTCTAGTGTGACCAGAGGAAAAGCTTTGAAAACACAGCCTGTACTTCCCATTTCAGTCAGTTACTGACTAGTATCCTTCTGCCAGGCATTGGGAGGTTTCATCCAATCAGAAGATCCAGCTCTGAAGGAGGATGTTTTTGTGATAATAGGTGATACAGTAGGAGAAGATTGTTTCCATCCTTCCTTAGCATACCTCCTCCTTCTGTGGTTTATCTACTTGTGTTTATATGCTAGAAAGCCACAAATGAATTCTTGCTCCTACGAGGCTGAAGGGCTGTGATAAAGAAGCAATACAGAAATGTTTTTTTTTCCTTGATGCTGCTCCCAGATAATCTCTGGCTATTTTCCAGTTACAAGGTCTATATTAGGTGATGCTGGAAGGAACAGAATAAAGGATAGCTAGGGAATGCATCTGTAATTCAGGCAGGTAGAAAAATCACCCTGTGGCCTGTGAATACAGCATTTTTGTTCTATTACCATCAAAGCCACAATCTCTGATTCTTCTTTATTGTATGCAGGAGGCAGTCACATCAGGTCTTCCTTTACTGTGCATATTGACAGCAATAAGTAAATAAAAGTTATGCTGACACTAGAATGAATTCCTGTGTATTCTTGATACACTGTCACCAAAATGATGTTAAATTGTCTCTGCAGGAGTTCAAACAAATCATTGTGACACTCTCATTTACTGCCAGTGCAGTTCCTCTGCTTCACTGGGTTGCTGTGTTACGTGCTTAACATCACCTCTCAGAAGGATTGGCCGTATGTAAAAAGCTTTCACCCTTGCTACCCCCTTTTAAATTGTGTATAAAGTTAAAGCAGACTGTATCACATCTGAAGTAGAAAGCTCCCACTTGCTTACCTGAAGTCAGTGAACAACTCTGTATGTAACCAGCAGATGTGCCCTGAGCCACCTGTGAGGAGGTGCTTTCCATCAGTCATTCCCTGCTGCACAGGAATCCACTCCCCTGTAATCTCCCAGGCAGAGCCAGCACGGAGCTGCCTCTGTGCACCACAGCATCTAAATTAAGTGACTGTCTCCTTTCAAAGGACACAGAAATGACTGATTCCAATGTTCTCTGTGTATTTTTAACACAATGCAGTAACAGGAAGATGGCTTAGGAAGCTTCCCTCTGTTCAAACGACCTCCACCAGTAATCCTAAGCTGCTTTCTTCTACTGGGAAAATTGGGAAGGGGGTAATGACTTCCTCCAATGACAAGAGTTCTCTAACTTGTTCTCTTGTGTCTGAGGATAGAAGAAAATACAGGATGGTTTGCACCTTTAAGATTTCTCTTCAGGAGTTGCAGAACACCTACACTGGCTCTGAAAAGCCTGTGGCCATTCTTCACCACCTCCACCTTCTGTGCAACACCTGTGAACTTTTCTCTCTGAAGATGCTCCCTGTTGTTCCTGTCAGAAACACTGCCAAGTGTGAAGCCTGCTGATTTCCTCTGCATTTTCCTGGCTACTTTTCACAGTGTGAAGGATGGATCCTGTTAAAAGTTCAATTAACTGATTTAAGAGTTAACTTCATCCTCCTCGTAAGATGCACAGGCTGTTTCAGTCCCTAGTGAAGAAGAGTGGTTCCTGCTGGAGTGCCCGCCACCCCAAGGCTTTGCTCTTGCACAGAAGTTAATGTCAGAGAAAGAAAGGCAGCCCTAGCCCTTGCCCCCAGTCTGTGCTTCTTCTAAAGCAGAGAAAGTGGATAAGAAATGGAAATTGCCCTTGGGGTCAGAAGTGGATAATGAAGGATAAATGGTTGCTGGTGCATGTTGTGCATTGCTGTGCGTGGCACACAAGTGACATAAGCTGGTAGCAATTTTTAGTGACAAAGTATGGCTTTTTTTTAGCTCCAGATAGTAGGCAGGCTTTCTGCTTAGGACTTAGTGTAATATTAGTGTATCTCTATGGAAATAAGATGATAGATTTCCATAGGAATAGTCTGTTTTGAATGTTTTCAATGCTGTCACTCTTTGTGGTTGTTAGAGGGACAGAAGCTGGCTCATGTTGTACCCAGAAAGGAGAGGTTTGCTCCCAGGAAAGTGGCCCATGTTCTGAAAGTCTTGCCCAAGGCAGGGGCTTGCCTGGACTCTCAGTGCTGGTGTGCCTGTGAAGGATGCATTCATTCTGGCATCTTCTTCCTTGTGCACAAGGACAACTCTGCAGTTTTTTGCCCAGTCTGTGTATGATTTTTTTACCTACCTAGTCTGAGCATGGATTTGAATGGGTGAAATGACCAAGCAAGAGGAATTGCTGTAATGAATCACCTGAGAACTGAGTCTGAGGTGGCCTGTTGGGGTGACAGTCACCCCAAGTTCAGCCACTATGTGTGGTTTGTTGAACAAACCAGTGCAGTGTGTTTCTGTGTACAGAGATAACATCCCCTTTTCTGTATTAAGTAACACTTACTTCTTACTGCAGGCTTATCTCCCCAGCCAGAATGCAGAAAGATCCAGCTGAGTACTCAGGTCTGTGAGTCCTTCCTGCCCTTTGCAGGATACAGTGTAGTGCCTGAACCAACATTCATATTTTTGATTTTTTTCAGTATTGGCAGATATGGCACTTCAAAGGAAGAAAAATTATAAAGGGCGTTTTGTGGGGGTAACAAAGGCACCTTTGCTAACTCAGAGCTGTTGCAATAAATAACTCAGCAGGGTCATGTGCTCTTCTTTTGCTGTATCCTGAAAAGTGCAAACCTTGCATTGCTTAAATTACTAACTGAACTCTGCTTACCCTTGAGTTCTTCTTGACTGCACCCCTGCCTCAGACCTCTCTGTGGAAACCACCCAAGAGTGGCGGGATATGTCCTCTCCTAGAGCTGCTCTTCTCGTTGGTTTCTTCATCATTAATTCTGGGGTGGGAGAGAGCTCCCTGTTCCTCCACACATCAGTGGCTGCCCACAGAAGGTACAGCCCCTGCCTCTCCAACATGAGGAAAACAGGTTCTGTTTTTTGTTGTGAGGTTCTATATCCAAGTTCTGCAAATAGGAATTAATATTTTTGACATCACCATGTTAATAAGGGGGTTTGGAAACAAGATCTTTGTGGTGGGTGTGAGCAAACTGACTCCCTGCAATGGAATTAGGCCCTGTTCAAAAGAGGTTCTGACTCTCAGCCTTGATGGAATAAGGCTGGAGGCTTGTGCCAGTCACTGCTGAAAGCACAGCCATGACCAGGGTGATAGCATGTTTGGCAGAACTCTGTCTTTGGGACAGCTCACAGGGCATTCAGGGTCCTTGGGTGGCAGAGATGGGCTGTGCTTTTAGGTGCTACCAGCAATAAAAATTACACAGCAACAAGATGAGAATGCTGCGGCTTTTGTAGCAGAGTAGAGGAGCAGGCTTTTAATGCAAAGATTGCCAGAGATTGATTGGATTGTAACTTGCTTG